TTACATTTAATCCCTTCTCTTCCTTCAAATTTCCTTGTTGTTTTACTTCTCCACCATTCAAGTATTTTCTTCGTCCCTTTTCCTCCTTCAAACCACTTTCATGTTACCTTTATTCATCTTTCACATTTTTCATTGCGACTTCCTTTCTTCTTTACCCTTCTTCACGACTCAATCACGTCCTTCTCCTCAAAGCTTTCGTTCTTTACCCCTGATCAGCTTGTTGGCGATAAACGTGCGTGGGTTTTTCCCATTTCCAGAGCCCAAATAACGTAAATGCTGGTCTGCTATTGGTTTAGAGGGGACGCTGGTCACGGAGATTTCGTTGGTTCCCTTTTGGTCTTAGCATAAATAGCGAACCAAAAAGAAAAAGAGGGTTAGCGACTGAGAAGGCGTACATCTCGCCTGCGCCATTTTAATGGCAACAAGAGCGAAGATGGCTTAAAACAGTAAATAATTAGCAGACGAGTGGCCAACAATTCAGTTGTGAAACAAACGCTCGAGTTACAAGTAGAAATTGATTGGTTAACAAAACGGCGGTTAAGCAAAGGAGGATGACGGAAAAAATTCTGTTGTGCATCATAAAAACGATACAGGTTGACATGTGTTCTGCGAATCGGGATATTAACAGCTTTCCGAAACACCGAGTATCTATTTATAAACTCTTTTGCGAGTACGAACTGATCGTTGCATGAATGAACGGGAGTTAATCTGTTGCGGGCCGCATTTTTTCGATTGTCAACACTGTTGGAGTTTTTCTTTTTGTCTTGTAAAGGAGCTGTAATTACCAAAGAGCGCCGATATGGTCCTAGGGTAATTTTTCCAGCACGCAGGAACCTCTGGATCTTGAAGACGGAACTTCAGTTGGTGAACTCATTTTTCCAATGGAATAGTGCATTATGAATAAGATTATTAAAATTTCGACATAATTAGGTTAGCTGCAGAAGGTGATCACGTTACTTTATTTATTTATTTATTATCCCCCTCTTGTTCTGGGCCCTCAACAGGCTTGCGCCCCATTACAGAGTGACCCGCATAATGCCTTTAAGCGATTACATTCATTATGGATCATGGTGCGCAATCCTATATCGATTAGATCGCGCCTTGATGGCGACCTACGGCGCCCCGATGTCGCTATGGAACATTCGCAACACTGACATGTTCTCCCTTATCCTATCTTTTCCTATATTGCACTTTGTCCTGCCCAATATAGTGCTCCTTTGCTATTGACGATCTTCAGCTCTTTGCCGCCTTCTACTATTAACCTCTCCTGCTTGGCTCTTACTCTTTTGAACCCCCACAAATTTCCTTCTTTGGAGATATCGGGTCTGCTCAAACTCCGTATAAGGATACATCAATCAATAAATAGAAGATGTTCAACCTTGAAGGTAGAGCACTTAACGCCGTTTGTCACGGACGCTTGAAACTAATGGATGGAGATAGGCGTCCCATTTTCAAATTCTCTCGATAGTTGCCCGCTTCGGTTTTAAATTGTGTCATTGTAACGAAAGAGCTCTTATTACTAAACCATTAGTTGTGAACTGTCCCGAGACCGAAATGAACTCGAATCCAATTAAATCGTGAGCAATTACAAATACGTCCGTACTAAAAGGGCGCGTCGCGCCATTTTTCACTCGAACCCGACGCTCAATCTCCGACGCTAATAGATCGCAATCGCTTAAGCAAACATTTGCAGACATGCACTATCGATTGTTGAACACCTCGACCGGGTAGTCGCCGTGCATGGAAATCTAACCTAATTTCCAGGCGTCTACGTTTCGCGCCATCGTCGGTGTCAGTGTTGACACTTTGGCCTTTCCGGTTCAGTTTATTTGGCTGGCGAACGAAAGAGGAGAAGAGGAACAATGTCGGGCCCTATAATTACCAATTACCGGGATGAAGTCGAAGGTATCATATCATTCTCGTCGTCACCATGGCGACCTTAACGATTTTTTTCTCAAGGCGACCGAAGTGGATCGTGACAAATGAAATTTGGATTCCGTCGTACGCGTCACTTCGAAAATGACAATAATTCTTTCTGAAGGCTAACGAATTTAATAATACCATGCACTTAGTAATATCAAAGATCGTGAGACTTACATCTTGAAAGCAT